CACTGAGCAACCTTAGATCAATGCACCGCAGGTCTATTAGTTTGACCATGACAGTCCTGAACTGTCCACCCTCCCGATATTCCTCCCTTGCTCTCTCTCATCTCTCTCTCTCTCTCTCTCTCTCTCTCTCTCTCTCTCTCTCTCTCTCTCTCTCTCTCTCTCTCTCTCTCTCTCTCTCTCTCTCTCTCTCTCTCTCTCTCTCTCTCTCTCTCTCTCTCTCTCGCTCACTCTCTCACCGTGCAGACGGCGTCGTCCTCGACGCACTGTTTGCAGCAGCGTCCGGGCAGCTTGGCCGGGTGCCAGCCGGGGCCGCACTGCGGCTCGCCGGCCGGACACGTCTCGGCCTGGCAGTGGATCTGGCCGTCCGTGCAGCCGCACTCGCTGCACTCGCTGATCTTCCAGCGCTCGCCGTCCTGCCCGGTGAAGAGGCACACCCGTCACTCGCGCCGCTCCGCTGCCACGCGGACGCCAAGGCCACGGACGAGCGGTCGCCGCGCACACACGTCGGCGGCTACGCGCCGCCTCACGACGCCACACAGAGCCCTGCGCGACGGAGGCGCGGCCGCTGGTCATGCTGTGGTCGAGACAGCTGCTGGCGACGCCGCCTCGCCTCACCTGGTAGCGTCGGTGGCGGTTGCGGCAGACGCGGCGCACCGGCTCCGGCGGTCGACACACGGGACAGCAGCTGTCCGGCTGGTGCAGCTGCAGGCGCCGCGGGCACGCCAGCTGCGGGCAGCTGGTGCGACGGCACACGCTGGTCGAGTTCTCGCACGTGCAGCGTGTGCACGGGTCCAGCGTGAACTGCTGGCCGGTGCTGTACCGCTTCTTGCCCATCTGGCAGCCCGACGAGCCCGGCTCCACGCGGCGAGTGCCTGGTGATACCAGAGGGGCTCAACATCGTCATAATTGTAGTACTTTAATACCCATACTGCTGCTAATACCTATAACAATTACGATCATCATCATCGTCATCGAAGCTATCGCCATCGCCATCGGCATCACCGTCCCCGTCGTCATCGATGCCAGCACCGGTGTCATCGTCATCATCGTCAATGTCAGTAATTAAAGTTGAGGTGGCATTGTCTCGACTGCGGTCTTTTGGAGGGCCTCTTCGCACTATCACCGGCGTTAGCAGGTAAAAGTAAAAGTGCTGGTGGTGGACCGGCGCCTGGCAATGTCGCATGTGTAGGTCCACAAAGAGAATGAAATTTATTTGTGACGCCGAACCATGTTCAGTTGTCGGATCGTGGATCGTTTAAGCCGACGCGATGTTAATCGAGGCGCCCACTGCAGCCGTTATCGGCACGGAATGCAGCACTCCTTTATTTTCAAGACCGTCTTATCATCGCCGTCTGCTTTTGCTGTTGAAAACAGGGAAACTGGCAGCATATTTGCGAAGCGAAATACACGCATAGCAATGCACGCACCGAACTACAGCGGCCTGAAGATGCAGTATCTCTCACAAAACTGTGCGCAGCATCATCAACGTGACATGCCTTGCGTTTTTTGAATGTTTCATTCTCCGAACATCGGCCATTATGTCAGGCGCACGTTTTCAAAGCACATGCTTGTCAAGTTGGTCTATTTAGGTACACAGTAAGCCGTAATGAGCATGCGTTTTTACAGTGTTTTTTTTTTCTCAAACGGGCTTAAAAAGGACGGAGTGGGCGCACCGCATTAGCTCATACATTGCAGGAATGTGAGAAGTGTTTTTTTACCAGGTGGCTGGCTGAATGCGACGCGCTCGGATGAGCTCAAGTTGGCTCCCTAAGATCTCAACGACTAAGCGAGCTAGAGGCACCACATTCATAGAGCAGGTACATCTGTATGTGGACTCACTTAAGTCACATTATGACGTACCTAGGTGCCCTGCCCGGGGCAGACGCCCCACCGCAACCGGATGTTGCAAAAGCAATCGCTCACAGCTGCTCCTCCAATTTGGACATTGGTTAAAGCAGAAGTAACGTTGAACGGCAAGCGCGCAAGTCGTAAACGAAAGGCTTGCTTCTGGTGGCCGGATGTAGAGACGGATCTCCATCTGCACGATGCCGTGACAGCACTCCCAGCGTACGCGAGTTTGGCGTCATGATGCCACATGACGCTCATACGCAGACGGGTCCGTCCCGTTTTTTCATAGCACATTCCTACCTTATTTTTGAGGTTCGCGGCCGAAACTGCGCAGCTTACACAATTTATATCACCGGCAAGACGCGCACCACTCCGCTCGATGGTGCAGTGCGCACGGCCCAGTGTGCAGTGCCTCCGCTCGACGGTGCGGTGCGCACGGCCCAGTGTGCAGTGCCTCCGCTCGACGGTGCGGTGCGCACGGCCCAGTGTGCAGTGCCTCCGCTCGACGGTGCAGTGCGCACGGCCCAGTGTGCAGTGCCTCCGCTCGACGGTGCGGTGCGCACGGCCCAGTGTGCAGTGCCTCCGCTCGACGGTGCAGTTCGCACGCCCAGTGTGCAGGCTCCGGCCCAGCCAGTGTGCAGTGCTTCCGCTCGACGGTGCGGTGCGCACGGCCCAGTGTGCAGTGCCTCCGCTCGACGGTGCAGTGCCTCCCTCGACGGTGCAGTGCGCACGGCCCACGGCCTCCGCTGGAGCAGGCTATCCTCTGGCTGTAGCACAAGCCGTACCTTTGCAGCGGTAGCAGCACTGCCCCGGGTGGCGCACTGTTTTCGAGGCCGGACAGGAGAGCGCGGGGCAGACGCGGCGCGTGCAGCTCTGCGTGCCGTCCTTGCCGCAGCGGCAGGCCACGCACGGGTCGTCCGGCAACGTCACGTTCCGACCCGCCCCGGCCACTGCCCCGGACAGCTGGCAGTCCGGGCAGCGCGGGCAGCACTGCCCGGGCGCCGGCGGTAGCGGGTGGCTGCAGGGGGTGTGACACTGCGGGAGAACGAGACGGGTCAGCGTGGCACGGCGTGTCACGCGAGGGTGAACGGCTCAAAGAACAGACCGGGCGGTGCATGAGGGAAGTGGCTAGCGTGACAGCGTGCCGTTCTTTGCTGGACGCTGCTAGTGGGGATGCACGTTGTTCGTTCATGCACTTGTGGTTCAGAATGCGGGAAGCGTGTTTGGGGGAAGTCGTGGATCAAGTATACCGTTTTTCGCTACAAAAGAGACCGTGCTGAACAGCAAAATGTTGGCAGAGATTGAGGCAGCCTTTTGCGTCCCCAGACAAAGACGCAGCAGACACCACAGGCCCTGCCGAATATCTATATATCAAATTATCAAAAGACTAGACGGCACAGACACCACAGGCCCTGCCAAATAACTATATAGCAAATTATCAAAAGACTGGACGGCTATCACTACCCGCTGCCCTGTTATGAAGGCACCGTTTGGCACTGAAGCATTCCATGAACAGCAAAAACATACAAAGGAAGTACATATGCCACTAATCCGCAATGCCAGTCCATTGTAACTCGCTCAATTTTGTACAGGCCATCATGTGAGCAGTCACCGGATGATTAATTGTCCTTGGAGATGTCCTGTACGCCGATGATAAGTGAGGAGATTACAGAAATAAGCGAAAGAGAGAGAGAGAAAAAGGGGTGTAGTTTTACAAAAAAGATGAGTGGGCTAAAGACAGTGATAAACATTATTTTTTGGAACGGATTTGGTTGGTTGACTGATACTCCCCTCCCCTCCCCCTGTCAAAGATGCAACGCCCCGTGTTTGACACTGCGCTCCGCTCCCACATAGCTGCTGCGACCCCGCTCCCACGTCTGACAGTGCGCTCTGCTGACCTTGACCTTGGAGCGCGTGATGACTCCGCTGAAGCAGTGACTGACAAGACAGGGCTCTGCCGGGTCTCTCCACTCGTCTCCCTCCTTGTAGGAGCCATCCGCTGTCTGACATCCTGCGCACAAGAGACAACCGTCACAGAACTATCCTACGCTCAAGGATGGATCAGTGTTGAACACTCACCTTGAACGAAAAGTTTCTGATGCAACTGCCGGTGAAAAGACGCGGATACTGGCCCCTCCGGCCGGTGACTTCAAAACCGTGACATATTATCACAAAAAAGGAGCAAAAATATGACAACTTCTTTGCATCTGAATGATTGGCAGAGATCGTTTTTTAAGGATTGTAATCTGATCTCAATCCCTCATACAACATGCACTGTGATCGCAATTGCAATGATTCCTGATTCCCTTCCAATGGTGGCAAGTACGATTAAAATAGAGGGTGGAAGCACAGCTGATCAAACTAATGCATCGTGTGTGACATAACGGCAATATGTCATGTCTAGACATGAATGCTGCTACCTGTATAGTTCTGGTGGTGCATTAAGGAAAGCAGATTGGCAGAATGCTCCAGGAGTGTTCAGCCCATTTCTAGATATCATGCAAATGTCAACAAGTGCCATGGTTGCGCCTAGCTTGTCCATCGACAGGGTCTGCGGCCCCGAACATTCAGGGGCGGGTTTTGGAAATAAGTGAAGACCACGTGCACCTTTTCATCCAACTTTATGTACGACAGGCGAAAATTCGCGGCAGAATAGTGAACTGAAGAACGATTATAGCGAATGATAGCGTGCCATCCCGAAACAGCTGCCATGTTGTTGGTTTGGCTATTATATTTTGTCATAAGCCCTGCTTGATCTAAAACATTTTACGCCGCTTCGCGAGAAGCGTTTCAGCACGTTATAAGTCACCGGATTGCGATGTTTCAATAACACGCTAGGAACTGTGGGTGCCCAACGAGATAGACTGGCGTCTTTTGAATAGAAACACCCCAATGCGACCCAGCGTCTGTAGTTGCAGTCAGGCTGCTGCTCTGCTCAATGATCTTGCGCTGGGAGATCATAGGCATGGTATGCGCGGTGCAGAAAGAAATATGTAGGGATTTCGCCACCTGTCGCAAGGAGCTGAACTCCCTGTCAATGAGAGGATTCAGGAACCGTTTTATGCCCTGCACGATATCGTTGGGGGTGCGACAACGTGCCCACCTGCATAGCGAGTTGCACGTGGCCCTGGGTCCGATTTAATCGGTAATGCCAGTTTTCTCGAAATCTGTTCGAATGTCCCAGCATTTCGATTCGAAGCATCCGCTCCTGCGGAAGAAATCTTGCTGAACTCCACGCCTACAACTATGAAAGTCATATATTTATTTTGCGTTGTTTTTCCAACGCGTACGCTCTGTGAGATGCAAACCCTTCTTTGAAAAATATGCACCTGGGGCTATTATCCCGCGAATTCAACGAAACGCTACACCGTGGCTTTGATTCCCCCCCCCCCCTTGGCGTTTTACGCAGTGACCCTTTTCAAAGCGCACTTGGGCTTTGGAAGGGGGCTATCACATGGCCTGAAGTAACGCGCAAGTCCGCAGGCCAGCAATGGGCAGATACACGGATCAAAAGCGATATCTCAAACCCGGAACAGCTGATAACGACCCCTATGAGACTCCGCCATCGTCATGACGACGGTGGTTTCATGACGATGACGACCGCGACAGCTGCAGTTGTCGCTAACTCGGGATACGCTCTGGGGCTCCCAAGAAAGGACGAAATGTAATACTGTTTCAAAGCGTTCACAGCGAAAGCTGGAACTCGAAAATAGTTAAAGTTTGCACCCCCATTACATCTGAGTGGTGCTGTAGTGGCTCTGTCTGGTGCTATCATTACACGTAAATAATTCTTAGGCTTCACCGGAAAATGTTCTTGACACATGCCCCAAAGGTGGGACACCCCTGTTACAGGCGCTGGTCACGGGGACGCTGCATGGATGAACTCTGGATTTTTCCTCAGCCCCATTCTCACCATGCAATTGAGGACTGCCCCATGATGCAGCAAAATCGAGGCCTCTTGGTGTTACGTAACGCGAGAGTTTTCCGCTACGTATGCTTCGACAAACCGGCATATTATCTCCTGGCTGAATGCGATCTCATAACTGAGGTGAAATGCAAAGGTGCAGGCGGGTGCCCGTTGATTTCCTTGCCATTGTTGTTGCCTTAGTAGCTCTCGGACATGCCTATGTCGATGCCACGTGATGATTTTTTCGGACGGACCGGCGCCTTCTGGCCACATTGCACTCCGAAGGTATGGGGCCAGCTGGAATTCGAGCGCTGGCACCCGTAACAAAAATATATGCCAGTTGAATGAAACCAGTAAATCTCGTACTGTTGCCATAAATTCCGAATGAATGCATTTCCAACCGGAAATGTAACCTTTTGTGCTCATTGCAAGCAAATTATAAAAATTAGCATTAGTGCTCAAACATCCGACAGAAACAGGTCGTTTAGAGTAATTAAACCATACATAAATTCGCAAGATTGAAAAGTAAGATGTTGCGGAAGTCGTTAGACAGCTGTGCTGACAGCTATATGCGGCCAGCGGCCGGCGGCGGCCAGCGCCCGGCGGGGCTGCTCGTTACTCGAGGCGCGGCAGCGGCGCTGATCGCGGCCATTCCTGTGGCGTCCGCCGCCGTCGGTAATGGCAAGGCCAGCCCGCCGGGTCACGGGGTCAACGTCGGCCGGCCGGCCGCGGCACCCTCACGGGCCGTCGCCGGACGGTCTGGTCGTCCCCGAGATCCTGCACCGCAATTAGCGAGCCAGCGTAAAGTGGCGGACAGGTATCAGGCCTCCGCGAACCCCTGGTGACCTCCGCTGACCTGTGGTGACCCGGGCCGGGCCGCGGACGCGGCTCGCCACGCTCTGTTCCGACCTGCAGAGTGGCCGACAGAGCAGCTAGTCCGGAATGCGGCGCACCGATTGGTGGCATCCGGTGTACCGAGGAAGCTGCGACGCGCAAGACGCGGGATTCCCTGGAGTCTTCCCGCGTGACCGAGGGGCGGGAAGATGACGGCGAACGTGGGGTGGAGGAGATGGCGCTTTCTTGGTAGAGGACAGAGAGGTGCAGAAGCCACAGAGAATGAAACCCAAGTCTGACTTAAGGTTGAATATCACTGGCATCTCCTTAACATGAGTGATAAGGAGGGCTTAATCAAGATGCTTATTCACCTTCTCAATTGTATTTCATTCATACCGTTGTAAATTCCGCTTGCTGTGTTTTACTGGTGTTGCATTTTTTCATTCAATGACTGACATAAACATGCAACTGCACCTCGTAGATACACAAACAGGGTCAGGCCCGTCCTTAATTGTTTATTCTGAATGCAAGTGCAATCTAAGCAATATTGACGTGAACTAAACACATTCGTCTCAGTTCGCGTTCATGAGCAGTGGCGCCTGACAAAATGCTTGAGTCAGGTAAAATGCTCTAGATAAGCCAGGCATTTACGAATATTTCTTAATCACCCCGTATCAGCCGTAAAATACAATTTCCGTGAGCAGCTCTTGATTTACGGCTGAAACCTAATGGCGTTGGAAAATTATGCCCTTTTATGGAGCCCGCCTGACATGCCTTTTAAACTCAACCAAACGAAGGCAAACCACTATATGGCAAGGTTATCTTCAGTGAAATGTGTGAGGCAGCTCACATTGATGCAAACATGGATCATAAAGCAATGCGGGATTTGACACATGTAAGCCAAACATAATATCTCTGGCCCCAGAGAAACGTGATTGCCTTAACGGCCCTACTTGCCTTTACAGCGTTCGCAGCAGGAGTCAGGCTTGATCTTCTGTCCCAGCATGACCAGATGACACGTCTCGGTCATGGGGCAGTGCTCCCGATCGCAGGTCACCAGACCACCCTGCAGCAAATATGCACGGTTTGGAGGTCAGAGGTCACGACAGGTGCTCGCGCCCGTCACCCAACATCCTGATCGAACAGAGAGCTGTTTGGACCACAGGTCTTTTCCAAGACGGCGGTCAAAGTGTCCAGTGGCACTGTGCTCAGTTTCACAATCATTCTAGGAGACTGAAGTCTCAAGTCACGTCGAATGATGAGATTACAAACAAAATCGTAGGTTAACCGGCCTGCCACCGAACCCAGCCGCGTGCAATCCGTAAATGTCGCTATCAAGCTGAAACGAGTGTTTTAGAATGCGATGTTACCCACGCGAACTCCAGGATATCCGGCGCCGGAGACCCACATTGGCCCGTGGGGAACAGTGCCGGGTCAGGGGTTATGAGCAGGCCGCTGATCGAGGTGCGAGGTCACGGCTGACGTCAGAACTCGGTCCGTGCCACAGGTCGCGGTGGCAAAGCACGCGGAAAGAGATGAGAACCGTTGGGCGCATTCGGACCGACGCCACTTACGTCAACACCCAAAAGGTTACATCCTCGTGGCATGCACTGACCCGTGCCAGCAAAACAGGTCTTCTGCAAACCATCTGGCGAACGGCACGTGGAAAGTAATCAGTGAAACGTGCATGCATGACGCGAAGTGAAATTCCACTTCGGCGCCATTTCAGGTTTGGTTCGCCACCCGCCGGTGAGCAGGAGATGCGAGCTACGAAGTCAGTCAAGTATGGTAAGCGCGGTGCTCGAAGATGCATAGAGGTACCTTGCTGACACCATTAAAATAACAAGGCGCACTTCAGTTATAAGGTGTGATATCTGGATGTTCGCTACATCGGAGGAATACCATATTATCACAACAGTAAGGCTTCAAAGATGTGAACAGCATTGGGCTAAACTCAACGTCGCAAATATTCCGCGACGCGAGAATCCTAACCCGTGGCCGTGACTCAGATGTCGTAAACATTTATGCAAACGTGCCTAAACATTTGTAAAGACCAGATTTGATAAACAACGGACGACAATGTATTGCATCATGCCCGGGTTAACTGTTCGTTGCAGTGTTGACAGGCGCATACGTACAAGTTGAATTAACGTAGCAGAAAGCGAAATTTAGAAAAGAAGGCGAGCTCGCAATGTGAAATATAATAGAAAATGTAAACATATTGTGTATGCCAACGCGCTCCGGATAGAACGGCGCTTTTAAATAACGCTCGATAACGATTACTGAGAAGTATGAGGGTGGCATCCCCCCAATCTCTTCCGCATATCAACCACCTGTTCTTTCGACTTTGACTTGTCGACTAGCTACCAATGTCACAGCTGTCATGCTGATGCAACCAGGTTGCAACGCTAATCCTTTTGATGCAAGCACTTCTCGTTGTACTGCACGAACCAGATCAGCTTGCAGTGGAAGTCAATTAGCATTTGTTGCTGTTGCTAGTGATCCAAACGCATAGAAACTGCTGGCATTACTTTCATTTAAAACGCATAGATACTGCGCACAGATGGGTTAAAACCAGTCGAACCACGAGTCAGTCAACGTAAGCATTGCAGATAAAGGTCTAGGGCTTATTGCGAAGGCTGCTGCGAGCGAGAGTACAGTCCGCAAGGGCGAGAGCACGGTCCACAAAGGGCGAGAGCAC